CTCTTTCTAAGGAAACATGATGGAACTTGGCATTTTTGCATCAATTATTGAGCACTTAATTCACTATCTATTAAAGATAAATTTTCTATTCCTACGGTAGATGAACTTTTCGATGAATTACATGGTGCTATAATATTTTCTAAATTAGATCCTTGTTCCGATTATCTTCAAGTTTATATGCACCCAAAGACATCCATAAAACTACTTTTCGCACACACGACGACCATTTTGAGTTTTTAATTATGTCTTTTGGACTTACAAATGCACATTCTACTTTTCAAGCTTTAATGAATCAAGTTTCATTCATATCTTCGCAAATTCGTAATAATATTTTTTGAAGATATCCTTATCTATAGTCCTACCTTGGACCTTCATTCGAATCATTTCGATATTGTTTTTTATACTTACATGATAATCATCTCATTTTAAAATTAACAAGATGTCATTTCTATAAAACTTCTATTGAATATCTTGATCATATATGCAGTTGGTAGTGTTCAGGCTTACCCAAATAAAATGAGTAATTGGTTAATTCCCTCTTCTTTATGACATTTACGATCTCTTTTGTGATTAACAGGTTACTAGCATCGCTTTCTATCCCATTACGCATCTATTGCTACTACATTAACAAACCTTCTTAAAAAATATGCATTAAATGAGACACTCATGCTTCCACAGTTTTTAATAACCTTGCACTTGTCATGATTCTTGCCACTATTTAACTTTACCTGACTTTACTAAACCATGTATTATTGAGATTGATGCTTCTAATGTGGGCAATGGTGTCGTTCTCTTACAAGATAATCATCATATTGCTTTCTTTGGTAAAAATTGGGTTTATAATTATGAATTATCCCAATCCTCCACTTATTTAAAAGAATTATAAGCAATTATGGAAGCATTTTGCAAGTGACGTCAATATCTCTTAGACACTAAATTTGTAATTTGCGCTGATCATAAGAGCCTTCGAGAACTCTAAACCCAAATCCTTCAAACTCCCGATCAACAATATTACCTTTGTAAGCTTTTAGGAGTCAATTTATGCATTGAATTCAAACCAAGTAAATCAAATACGGTGGCTGACTATTTATCTCACCTAGCGAATGAGACGGAGTATTCTATCATTTCTCTTGCTTCTTTCTTTACATTAATTACTAATTTTTCCTGGGCTTTTCTTCATGAATTAAAGAAGGAAACATTTAATGCTCCTAATATCCTTAGAATTGCATCAAAGTTGGCAAAGGGAGAATTATGAACTACATATTATCCCTCTCTCTACTTTAAAGGTTGTATTCACAAAAGTAAAAACTCCTCTAAAAAATTATTTACTTACTGAATTTCAATCTACACCTCCCAGTAGTACTCTTAAAACTATTAAAAAGACTCGCTGCAAATTTTTATTGACCAGAACTCCATAGAGATGTTGCTTAATTTTGTCTGAAAATTCCTAATCTACCATGAAATTAAGTCATCTATCATGGCCCCTGCTGGTCTTCTCTCTCCTCTTCCAGTGCCATATCAAATTTGGGAGGAATTGTCCATGGACTTTACCACGGGACTATTAAATTTACAAGATTACATTTCTATTCTAGTTTTCATTGATGGTCAATCCAAATAGGCACATTTTAGACCCTTGGCTACAGCTTTCTCAGCATCCCAATTGGCTAAACTATTTGTCAATCTAGTCGTTAGATTACATTGACTCCCAAAAGCATTTGTTTCCAGTAGTGATAGCACTTTTTAAGCAACTTCTGATATCATTTTTTTTTTTTTTTTGCTTTAAGCACTAATACACTCCGTTATAACACTGCTTATCATCCTTGGCCAGACCGAGATACCAAATAAATGTTTAGAACAATACCTTCGTGTTTATTCTAACACCCCAAAGTTATGGTCTCATGTTAACCACACACTCTCTAAATTGGCAAAACATTATTTTGGTCCTTTTCAATTTCAATCTATTACTAGTCCTGTAGCAGACTGACTTATACTCCTCCAGAAAGTAAGATTCACCGAATTTTTCCTATTTCAATCCTCAAAACTTTTCCCAGTGATCCACCACTTACAATCACACCTCTACCAATGTCATGACAACCAACCACTAAGCCTACCCTGTGCAATTCTAGCTTCCCGCACCATATAACTTCGTGGACAACCTCATAGGTACCCTAATGATGGAAGCTAACTACGCCATATGATGCCACTTGGGAGAATTCTTCAACACTCTCTTTCTTTTCCATCTCTGAAGCTTAAGGATAAGGTTTGCTTTTATGGGGACAGAATTGTATAGCAACAATTTATTCCCTTCGATTCAACAATAGTACACAAAGTAAATAATGATTAAATAATCTGAAAAACAAGCTAAAGACAATAATACAAATGTTATAGCTTATCATCGAAGAGGAAGGAATAAAATAAATTCAATAGACAACCAAATGCTTGCAGTTTTTCATCACACAGCTGCAAGCATTGCCACCGATCCAACAGCACCTAGTGGTCCAGTAGCCACCGGCCCATCAGTCCAGTAGTTCAATAGCCAGTAGTCAGTAATTAACCAGTTTAGCCAAAAAGACTGAACCACACCAAACCCACTTAAACCTTTGTGTTCATCAACTAGTCTAAAGTCTAAACCTTTTAAACCCATCAAAATCTTTATGTAAAACCCTATAAATATCTCCAAACTGATGTAATCTACTACTACAACAACATAAAGCCTTTATTCTACTACATGGGGTCGACGATATGAATCTTTTTTCTCCATTGTGTCCTATTAAGAGTTAAATTCTCATTGAAATCTAATAAAAAAGGTAATTTTTGATACTTACCAACCAAATACTTTTAGAGTCTACCTCAACCTTTTTTAACATAGACTGTATCTAATACATCTACTCAACTAAGCGGGTCATCGAAAGGAAGACATTTTATGTGACCAAACCATCTAAGATGACTCTCTAATCTTATCAGCCATTGGAGCTACTCCAACCTTCTCACATATAGACTCGTTTACATTGTCTCTAAGTGTAAAAATGTCCATTGCTGTAATCTATTTTAAGGAAATAAAATTTTTCTTCTCTCATCTTATGTTCTTTTTTAGGAGTTCATACCTACTCAAAAGATGCCACATCCTTCTCGAGTCATCAAGAAGCATGACACCTGGTCCATTAGGTACAAATAGTGTGAAATAGATCTCCATCCACATGCCTTAAGACTATTATAATATGAGTCAATGGAACCCCTAGATCATCGCAGTTGAGTCAAGCATCTCTTTAGATCATATACTTGACATGTGTTAGTTCCATCAAAGTAGGTTGTAGATATGGATTCTCATACTTTCTTCGTACTTGGAAAATAAATGAATTTATCAATAAGTGAGGGATCTATTGAATTGATCAACAAGCCCTTCAAAATAAATTTCTCAGTGCTCTATCTCTTAAAAGAGGAAGCATGGGTTCCGATAGTCAAAAATTACCATTTATGTGTCCCAACTTGTCTTTGTTTGAGATTTACATCTCAACAATTTGGGACCAAAATAATTAGTACCACAGAGTTTGATATTAATCAATGTAGCAATAATATCACACATCATTACAACAATATGAAGCCTTTATCTCACTATGTAGGGTCGGCTACATGAATCTTTTTCTTCATTGTGCCTTGTTAAGAGCCAAATTTTCATTTAAATTTAATAAAGAAATGTCATATCTAATATTTTCTAACCAAGCCTTCTAGGTCTACCTCTACCTTTCTTAAAAAAACAAATCTAATACATCTACTCTCCTAGCCAGGTCATCGAAATGCCTCATTTTATGTGGCCAAACCATTGAAGGTGACACTCTCTAATCTTATCTGTCACTGGATCTACTCCAACCTTTTCACTTATATGCATGTTTCATATCATATATCTAAGAATAAAACCACTCATTCACCTAAGCATCCTCATTTCTGCAACACTTAACTTAATATTATGTTTCTCTTTTAATGGCCAACATTCTACACTATAAAGTGTTGCATGCCTCACCACCATCTTATAGAATTTTCCCTTAAGTTTGAGGGGTACTTTCTATCATACAATAAGCCTGATGCATTCCTCCACTTCAACCATCCAACTTGAATTCTACTAATAATATCCCCATCTATTTCATCATCACTCTGGACAATAGACCCAAGCTATCTAAAACATGTAGTCTTATTGGCTTGATCACTAAAAGTCACAATCCTCCACTAGAACTATTACTCCTAATAATATCTCCATCTATTTCACCATCAATCTGGACAATATCACATATTATTACTAAAGTTGAAATATGATTTCTGAGTAAAGCTTGAGTTATTCATGTTGTAAGGTCTTCGATTATATGGCAATCATTTTTGTTGAGCTCATTTTAATGGAGCAAGTAAAAATCTAACTATTTCATTCAACTGCAAATTTTTTAGGATAACATAAAATTTTGAATTCAATTATTATCATATTCTTTAATGTGACTAGAAATTTAAAATATATAATTATGTTTTTACTTCAAGCTCATACACTGGTTGAAAACCTAGTACAGTAAACATGTCATCTTTAAATTTATAACATGCCTATACATTTCATACATGAAATTTCTTTGCTAATTTCATGGAAAGAGTAAATAATGAATTTTATCACAATTTCTAACTGATTTCTTTCAATTTTTTACACATGAATTTGAGATGAAGCTTTCATGCAACTTCTTAATTTAACCTAGTGCGGGAAAACACAAGATTTCAGTGACAAATGCTAACCTGTCATATTCTAGACAAGGACCATCAATAAATTTTTTTTATGAATTACTAAATTGTCCTAAAACAGTAAGGTAGATCAATACTTCTCTTTTCAGACAACGTAGACATCAGGGTGAAAGATAATTATACACCCACGGAACACAACTCATTTGTTACGGCCAATAACAAATAAAATACTCATCAAATAATATGATTCAATAGCCCATGACAAAAATTCATTGCAGTTGAAGGTGCACCTTTTTATGTCCTCCACTGCCTGTTTTCGATTTTGTATTTGGCGTTCTAGAATATGAATTAGAGTTGCTCTAGCCTAAGAAGTAAAAGGAAAAAAACACATATTAACAGATGAGCCAAAGAAAATACGTTTAAGGAAATGAAAATATTAATGACAATTAATGCCTGGTGAGGACGCAATGAATTAAGGAGATGGTGCAAGTTCTTGAAAATAAGAGATATTTCCTCCACCCTTCGTGCATATTGTGATGGTCTATCCACAAGCACATCAGCTAGCTCCAAGATATGTAGTTGAAGCTCCCTATTTAGTGACCTCAACTCTTTTTTATAATCTGAACAAATAGAAACAAATTAATGAATTAGAAGCACTTAGCCAGTTAGAACAAATAGAATAATATAGAAGATCAGGAGATCACAAGAAACAGAAACACATATGATGAAGTAACATTAATGTAATTGAATCGGTAATGATATAAGCAGAGCTCCAAAATTGATGAACAAAAGTAGGATTAGAATGGGAGATGAAACAAGTTAGCTTAAATCTCTTAAACAAATGCTGAGTCCTTCTCTAGCAGAACTCATGTGATAAAAAACTATCTAAACATACTTAGTCTTGGAAAGAACATGTAGTAAATAAGGCATCAATACCTAATATTTTAGTCACATTTGGGCCCTATTACGAGTCACTGTTCATGGAAAATTCAATCCATGTACCGAGCACCAGCAAAAAAGATATTAAATACAAGCCGAAAGTGTTGCAACAGTTAACAGTAGCTGATTAAGGCTATGAATTTCATTTTCTCATCATATACAACATGATGCAGCACATTATGTCAGCTGTGCAGAAGATAATGTACATTTGGATGGAAATCACGAGATTGGATGGATGGATTCACCATCTTTATCAACTCGCTTTATTCATGCATAAGGCTCAATATAATTAGTATAGTTTTATCTTCATGTTGCTTTGACATTATTATTTTATTTCTATGAATTGCAAAGGAAATCTAATAGTGATGTATAACGTAACTATGCGTCCATATAACCAAACTAATTTCAGTCCACCCGAAGTCAAGGTTCTCATCACATAAACGTCAAATCACCTTTACAAGGTAAGCCCCCTCCTTTAAAAAGCTTTCATTTTGGTGCTTGGACATATAAATAAAGAGTCATGAAGTAACTATGAAATTTATAACGGGGTTTTTTTTAGTTTGCTTACAAAGGAATGCAAAGTTTAAAAAAAATAATACTGAGGGTTTTGAAAATTTTCTTAGTTGGTAGGATGAAAAAAAAAAATGTGAAGTAATTTGTTGATGTATTTGAAATTCAAGATTTAGTTTATTTTCAATGTATTCAGAATTCACTCACAATAACTGAATTTCAAATAAAAAACATGTATAAAGGTTCGCCCCCAGCCTTCAGTTGATGGCCACCACTAGCCACTCTCCACCCACCGCCCGCCTCTATGCATCGCTTACCACAGCACCAATCACCCTACCACAACCACCACATCACTACAATTTTACATTGAATTCATTTTACTTTAAACCTTACACAAAAAAATAATTTCATATATTTCTTCTATACTTGACCCAATAATTCTAAAGTATTTCAAATACAATAAATTTACCTTGCACTGCATTTAGGGGTTGTTTGGATAAAAGTAGGATTTAGCAAATCCTGTAATCCAGGATTTAGTAAATCCTAGGTATATTAAATCCTGTAAATCCTAAGCATATACGTGAAAAGGTTGAAGTAGCTCTAGTGGAAGATAAGATTAGAGAGAGTCACCTTAGATTGTTTGGGCACATAAAACGACGGCCTTCCGATGACCTTGTTAGGAAAGTAGATGTATTAGATTTGACTTATGTTAAGAAAGGTGGAGATAGACCTAAAAAGACATGGATAGAAAATGTTAGAAATGACATTTCTTTATTAGATTTAAATGAGAATTTAACTCTTATCAAGACATAATAGAGAAAAAGGATTCATGTAGTTGACCCCACATAGTGGGATAAAGACTTGATGTTGTTGTTGTTATAGGTATATTAAATCCTAAAAACTATTTGGCAAGACAGTAGTTGTTAAATCTTGTTAAATCCTATGAAACTATTTGACAACATAATTCAGGATTTAAGGCGATTGATTCATTTAAAAATTAAATTTAATGTGTTATGAATTTAATTGCATGTTAAGTAAAAGTTACTTGTTAATTTTAATTTTAATTATCGTCAATAAGTTATAATAATAAATAATTTAATTAGAAATTAACTTAATTATTAAATAATTTATTTACTAATTATAGTATTATTTATTAAATTACGTATTTAGGTGTTAATTTAATAAGCATTTGTTATCTAACTTTATTAATAATTATCCAATTACTTATTTAA